TTATTGATTTTTTTTACAGAGAGGAAGGGAGAGGGATAGAGAGTTAGAAACATCGATGAGAGAGAAACATCGATCAGCTGCCTCCTGCACACCCCCCACTGGGGATGTGCCTGCAACCAAGGTACATGCCCTTGACTGGAATTGAACCCGGGACCCTTTTTGCAGGCTGGCGCTCTGTCCACTGAGCCAAACCGGTCAGTGCTATAATTTAATTTTTAATAATGTCTGTGTTTAATAACATGTTTTAAAAAATCCTAAAAATTTGCCCTGACCAGTTTGGCTCAGTGGATAGAGCATGGGCCTAGGGACTAAAGGGTCCCAGGTTCGATTCCAGTCAAGGGCATGTACCTTAGTTGCGGACACATACCCAGTGGGGGGTATGCAGGAGGCAGCTGATCAGTGTTTCTCTCTCATCGATGTTTCTAACTCTCTATCCCTCTCCCTTCCTCTCTGTAAAAAATCAATAAAAAATATTTTTTTAAAAATTAAATTATATAAAATAAAAATTAAATAAGTTATAGTAAAAACAGAGGTAATCTAAATGCAGGGTGGTCTCCTGGGTTGTACCCTGGAACAGAAACAGGACATTAGTAAAAAAGCTGAAGAAATCCAAATAAAATCTGTGGCCTAGTTAATAGTAATGTGCCAAGGTTAATTTCTTAGTTTTGACAAATGTACCATAGTTATGTAAGATATTAACATTAATGGAACCTGGCGAAGGGTGTACTAGAACTCTGTACCACCCTTGCAACTTATCCGTAAATCTAAAATTATTCCACTTCACAAATGCAGCACTCAAACCTTATCCCTTCCTAATTATTCTACTGTGTTCTTGAGGTTATGTCTGTTGTATCTGTTTGGTGGAAATACTATATAATGGTTTGCTACTGCACATCTCTTCTCAATGTTATGCTCAAAGCCATCGTGTTAACTTGAAATCAGCCACAATGGAAGAAGGTACAGCACAGAAATTGGCAAATGCTACAATTCAGGCTCCCCTTCTCCACCCCCAAGAGCTGGTGGCTAAACATTTGCCAGCACACCATGGTTCAACCTCATATTTATGGTCCCTCTGATTGCCCACGGGAGATGCGATCTATAGTTATCACTGACAGCCTTACTCATAACGGTTTTCTGTAATAAAAGTGAAAATACTAAATTCTATGTAGAGTAGGTTAAGACTTTCCTAATTTTTTGTAGTAAGGGGAGAAAAGTTTGTCCGAAGTGGTTTTTGACGATTTCTTACAGTGCTGAGGAGGCTAGTTACAGTACCATCCCAACCCACGGAGAGGCACTGTTCCCATACATATTTTTCCTGCTCTCCCAATAAAGTCACAGACTGAGACTGTTGAAGGGACTATTACTAGTAAGCACCCCTGGTACTTAACTAGGTTTCACTGTAAGTAACTACACACCAAACTGTGGTCAGTGGTCGTCTCAGGCGCAAGTAGAACTAGGTGTAACTTTACCTTCTTTTGCTTTGTTTTCTATTTATGTAAACAATCGTTTTACCTTTGTAACCAGGGTAAAAGTAGAACATACATTAAAAAGGAATTTGGAGGTGGTGATTTCCCAGCCCCTGGCTCACCTTGCCAGTGAACCACTGTTGGTTGCCTGATGAGTGGTGGTTTGTGTATTTCAGATTGCTGATCGCAACTGCAACCGGATGTCTTACTATAGCTCTGGCAATAATGATGTTCCGAGTGCAACCGGAGCCCCAAGGCCAACCAGCAAAAAGGTACTGAGCAGGGCAGTGTGAGGACAATATTTCCCACCCTTCACACAGACACACACACACACACACACACACACACACACACACATCTTTGGGGCCCTGTCCTTATCCCCCATTTTTTGACCAGGTAATTACCTACTAACTCAATGGTTCTCCAACTTACCATGCATCAGATATGCCTGGGCGGCCTGTTAAAATTGATTGCTGGGCCCTCTCCCCAGAACTTCTGATTTGGTAGATCTGAAGTGGGGCCCAAGAATTTGCATTTCTACTAAGCCCCTAGCTGATGCTGGTCCAGGGACCACACTTTGAGAACCACTGCATTAGCTTTTTTTTTTTTAAGAGAAGGAGAGATGGGGACAGTTCATCCTCCACCAAAGTACGTGGCAATAATGTGGCATCAGTTATTTTAACAGTACATATATTAAGGAACTATGAAATGCTTTCTCATAACTCTTTCTAATCACCCTTCCCTGTGAGTTCAGAGACTTTACAAGCGGTTAAACTGCTCACCAGAACTCCTTATATTAACAAAATTCTCTGATCGTAGTCCCTGACTGTGGCCCAGAGGTGGAGGGGGAAAACTGTCTGTCCCAGCTTTCCTCCTCTGCCATGCACCCAAGATTCTCATGTTTATAGTAGCTACTTATGTTAAGGCAGTGGTTCTCAACCTTCCTATTGCCGCGGCCCTTTAATACAGTTCTTCATGTTGTGGTGACCCCCAACTATAAAATTATTTTTTTTGCTACTTCATAACTATAATATTGCTACTGTTAGGAATCGTAATGTAAATATCTGATATGCAGGATGTATTTAGGCAACTCCTGTGAAAGGGTCGTTCGACCCCCAAAGGGGTCGCGACCCACAGGTTGCGAACTGCTGCTTTAGACAATCATCTACTTTACAAAATGTTCACCCAATATTTCCAGTAAGATATGGGTCGGTGCTGAAAGTAAACTCTTCACTTACTCTAAAACTTAGCTTTGAGCTTTGCAGTGACTAGTGACAGGGACCATTTTCCTTCTTGAAACCATGATTTTCCTACAGCCTGACAACCTCAAGGCAGGGCTGATTTCTCCCAGGCGCAGTCATTATCAGGTTTTGTACTTGCTTCGTTTTAACGTGGCTTCTGGTCAATGAGATAATTTCATTTCCGAGGGAAGTTTAGCCGGTGTGTTTCCTTAGGAGCTGAGCAAACAGGGTCCAGCTGCTTGGCTACTTCCTGTAACCTCGGGAGCAAGGTGTTCCTGTAATACTGTTCCCCGGTGAGCAGCATCAATTCTTTAAGAAGCAGTAATCGCTCTCTAATCTGTTCTTGCCATAAGACTCAGCCAGTCAAGCTGACCTACTTTCTGGAGGTTCCCTTTAAAGCCGGTAGAGTGTTCTCTCTCCTACAGTGGGAAGATCGTGTGTAACCACATTACATCATGTGCGCACTTAGACCACCGCCAGACTAACACTCACCTCGTGCCTCTTCAGGTGGGAAAGCTTCCCTTAAGACTCCCAACACATGTGTAACCACGTTACATCATGTGCGCACTTAGACCACCTGCCAGACTAACACTCACCTCATGCCTCTCCAGGTGGGAAAGCTTCCCTTAAGACTCCCAACAGCAAACAAATGTGTATTAAAATTATAAAGGTTTGACTTGCCTGGCAGAATGAGTGGAACCCACTGACTAGCTTCATTCGGCATTCTCCATTCATCACCAGAACCGGCCAGGGATGTAAATAGTTAGAATCCCCAGACATCTGCACATGGACTCTCCATTTGTCCCCTTTTAGTATAGCTGAGTAACTCTCAGATTTCAATGTCCATGAGAATTAATAAATTGGGTTACATGCATTCTGTACATTGTGGGTAATTTAAGGCTTAGTCAAGGGCAATCTTTGCTATAATCAGCTTTTTGCTTTAGGTGTTGGACTTAAAACTTACCTTCTACATAAGCCAGTGCTCTAAGGTGTGATATTAGGGTCTTCAAATTTTATCTTTCTTACCCACAAAATGATAAACAGTAACTTCACCTGCCTTTCTTCTAGGTTTTGTGGTCATTAGATAAATGAAATCCATAGAAAATGCCTATTTTTGTCATTAGTTAGGTTGACCAACCATCCCAGTTTGCCCAGGACTGAGGGGGTCCCTGGGATACAGGAATTTCATTTTAAGACCATGACAGGCTCAGGCAAACTGAGGTGAATTGGTCACTTACCTTTAGTCTTGAACTTCGTTCCATCAAAACTTGTCAAAAGCATTAACAAGTAGCCAGATAAACGAGGGAATGGGAAAGGCACAAAAGGTATAAAAATTACCATTTGCTCTCGAGCAGTCAGGTGACTTGAAGGGAAGTGTGGACATAAAGTGGAGCTGAGGACTTTTCAAGCATTGACCCTGGAACGTCAGAAGTTAGAAGTTGTGAGTTCAGGCTGATGCCACTACGCCTTCTACTGCAGCTGATCTGCTCATAAACCCAGCCCATCCTGCTTCCCACAAAGCCATAGTGGGAGCATTAAAAACACAACTGTCCAATCCAGAAAGGAGTTTAAATACCGACTAGGCATTGGATCTCTAACAGAGGTCCCCAGGCCAGCAGTGCCAGCAGGAACTTGTTAGAAATGCAAATTCCCAGGTCCTGCCCCAGGCTCACTGAGTCTGAATCCAAAACTCTGGGGGTGGACCCAGCAGTCTGGGTCCTCACAAGCCCTCCAGGGGATCCTGCTGCACAGTCATGTTTGAGAACCCAACAACGGATTTCATGGGTGAGAAAACTGAGGATAGAGGAATGGCTTGCACACACAGGGTTTCCTGCAGGATCTGAAAGGAAAACCACAGGCACCCCCAGTTCTGATGGCTACCCCAGGAAACAGACCCCCTCCCAAGCTGAGGCCATTCCTTCAAACCCAGCTCTCCTGTGTGATACCACCACCAACCTTCTCCTACCGACATAAATGTTCACCAAGCTCAGGTTATTGCAGCATTGGCTTTGCCATCTACCTGTAATCCAGGACAGCCGTCGCCAGCCGGTGGTCCGTGGGCCATTGGTGGTATGTGAGGTCCGAAAGGTTGGCAACCACTGGTTTAAGGAAACCTTTGGAGCAGCGGTTGTCAACCGGTGGTCCGTGGAACACGGTTAGTCTGTGAGGTCTGAAAGGTTGGCGACCACTGGCCTAGAGGATAGCTTTGGGTAAAGTAATCTTGGTTGTAGATCCTTCCTATTCATCACTTTGAGTATTTCTTGCCATTTCCTTATGGCCTGCAAAATTTCTGTTGAGAAATCAGCTGGCAGTTGTATGGGTACTCCCGTGCAGGTAACTGAGTTTCTTTCTCTTGCTGCTTTTAGGATTCTCTCTTTGTCTTTTGCTCTTGGCATTTTAATTATGATGTATCTTGGTGAGGTCCTCTTTGGATTCCTTTTGTTTAGGGTTCTCTGTGCTTCCTGGAATTGTAAGTCTACTTCTTTCACCAGGGAGGGGAAGATTTCTGTCATTATTTCTTCAAATAAATTTTCTAATTTTTGCTTCTATTCTTGTCCTTCTGGCAACCCTATTATATGTATGTTATTTCGTTTTGCATTGTCCCAAAGCTCCCTTAGGCTCTCCTCCTGGTTTTTAATTTTTTTCTATAGTTGCTGTTCAGATTGTTC